GGGGATGGCAGTGTCCGTGGGCAGGGCTCAGGGCTCTGTCCCCATGGGCTTCCTGTGCTCAGTACGTCGGGCACATCCAGAGACCGCGGAGTTTCCGTCTCGGGCTCTGAGCTTAGCCTGCCTCTCCTGGCCTGTGTTCTACTCAGACATGCGGAACCTCTACGAACAGACCCGTGCCCAGCTAGGATTGCAGAGCTCGATTCGGCACTCCCCACCATGCGTGCCCAGTCCTGCGTCTGTGTTCTCTGTTACAGTTTTATATTTTTATCTTCCAGTGTACATACAATAATTGGTATTTTGTATAGCTCATTGTTCCTTCAAACATTGTACCATTCTTAAAATAATCTATACTTAACTGGATCTTGGGTTTACAAAAATAACTTTTCAGGGTCCATAAGCATTGTCATAGTTATTTCATTTTAAAATGCAATTGTGACTATAGCTTAAAAAGAAGTAAGCTAATGGCCTTCTAACTTTTGTGTATATGTTTATTTCTCTGACCATTTTCTTACACTGTGAACACTCTGGAGTTCTCTCTCTACTTGATTAAAATAGTTTATTGTTACAGCCTACAGAGAATGATTCCCATAGGTGATGCTGAAGGTTGTCAATCAGAAGAGGGACATTATTGTGCATTAATGAAGATATTATAAATTCTCAAAACCCTGGTAGGTGGGAAGGCAGGCCTAGAAGATGCTTGGGAGTGGTTTCCATAGAGAGTGCCGGGGCGGCCACTCCCCAGCCCTCGAGGCAGTGCACAGGTTCTGGTGACCGTCCCCGACTGCCGTCCTGTGCTGCGCTCACCCCGGCTCCGCAGTGAAGACATGCAAGATGCACAAGGCTGGTTGGCCCTGCAGGCGGTGGGTCAGCACTGTGGCGGGAGTGGGGTCCCACATGGCCAACCATGGTTTGAATCCTAGCCCTGGGTGCTTGAGAAAACACACAGGTGTGTGCGTGTGTGCCCAGGACCCTGGCGGGGAGGAGTGGAAGAAAGGGGGCTGCAGTGGGACCAGGCCCCCTGTGGGGAGCCCTTTCTTTTTTTGATGCATCCAGGCACCCTCTGGCATTAAAAAGGAAAAAAGGAAGAAAAAGCTATGTAAGACAGGTATTTTGCTTGTTACGATGTGTCTTTTCAAGGAAGTTCCATGCTGTGTTAATAACTTAACGGAAACATTACTTGAAAGAACATAGTTGAATTTACCAGAGAGCATGCACTCACTGGAGACAGGCAGACAGTGAGAGGGAGAGGGAGCGGTCACCTCCAGGGTGGCTACGCTGCCGCTGTCCCTCCTCCTCCACGCTCTGTCAGGGTTTTGGACATGCACACCTGTCGTGTCTTTCAAGCCATCAGCTCTGGGAGTTGACCCGTCCTATTGGCCTCGTGGGTCTAGCCACCTCAACCACTGCACTGTAGCTGACCCGTTTTGTTTGTTAGAAAGACAAAACATTTGGGGACCAGCAGGTGGTGTGGTGGTTAAGACGCTGGATACTCCCACATGGCCGACCATGGTTCAAGTCCTGGACCTGGTGGCTTGCTTTCTCACATTCTCTTTCTCTGTGTCTCTGGTCACATTAAAATAAATGAATAAATAAAAATAAACAATATTTAATATTTCTAAATCCACTTAAGTCTTTTTTTTTTTTTTTTTTTAAAGAAAAACCATTTCAGAGAAACTTACATGTGCCTGTAAAGACTTGACTTTTTGAAGCTTTGTGCATTTTCGCGGTCGCTCCCACCTGGGTCTCTGGCACTAGGCAGGTTTTCTGTGCTGTTTGCAGGTCCGAGATGAGCAGCATCAGTGTTCTCTGGGAAGCCTGAAAGTCCCCCTCAGCCAGCTGCTTGCCAGTGATGACATGACCATGAACCAGCGGTTCCAGCTCTGCGATTCAGGCTCAAACAGCACCATAAAAATGAAGATCGCCCTCCGGGTAGTGTGCCGTCTCTGCGCGAGCGCAGCGGGGAGCTGGGAGCTGGGAGCGGGGGCTGCTGGCAGCAGAGCTCATGGGTGCTGTCTGGACTGGGGATACATGGCCCTGGCCAGGGCAAAGCTCGTGCTTCGTCCCAGAGCCCAGGAGAGACCCGGGAGGCTGTGAGATGCAGACATGCAATGGGGTCGTCATTGCCGGTGGCTCGAGCAGGTTCCTGACTTCTGTTCTCATGTGGTCCAGCCCAATTTTCTTATCCTTTGGCCCAAAGGATTACTAACTGTATCAGCAAAGTTTTCTTCTAAGGCTGAATTTTCAAAGGTTGTTCAGGAGAGTGGTCTTAGTGTGACTGCAGGAGGGTAGAACTTACAGAGGAAAACCTTCTGTGTCCAAACAGACCAATATTCATTTGTAAACACCTGAGCTGTCCAAATGCGCTGAGAACACGGGCAATAGAGAGCACTCACAAATCAAAAACGTGACGTCGACCCAGGGCCAAATCTTACAAAAACATCAACACATGGGACCAGCAGTTACCATAATGGCTGTCGCTGGACTCCCACGTAGTCGACTGCGGTTCGAGTCCCGGACCCAGAGGCTTGAACTCGTACTGGCACGTGTGCGTGCGTGCCCAAGATCCCGAGAGGAGAATGGAGGAGAAGGGATTGCGGCGTGACCATCCCCCCTGGGGGGTGATTTCTCGCTTTCTGTCTCTATGTCTCTCTCTCTGTCTGGCGAGCGCACACGCCCTATAGCAAAAACCTCTCCTAAATAAATAAATAAATAAATGTCAACATGGACTTAGTCTTTAGGGTGTGGTGGAGAGGGTTTCCTTGTTCACAGAAGAGATCCTGGTGTCCCCAGTCTATAACAGTGAGGGCCCCTTTTCCAGAAGTGTGAATTTTGGTAATACAGACTGTGGGCAGCTATGAATGTAAAGCTGTTCACTGCAGCTTTATCTCAGAAAAGCAGAAAGAAACCTCGGGCCCTCAGTCACCTCAGCGTGAGGGGTTTGTTGAGATGAGCCTCTGCTCTTCGGAGTGTTGCAAGACTAAAGCTGGCCTGGTGGCCGGAGACCCTGAGCCATGTAACCACCCACCCATGCTGCTGGTTGGTGTGCACCTGGGGCTTTCCTCCCTTCTCTGGTGCTCCTGGTCGAAACCACGTGTGTGGAATGGGGAGTCTGTCTCCCGGCAGGATCGCTGGCTCTGTGCGTGCTCAGTTAAGAGCGTTGCCCGTGGCTGTGCAGAAGCGTGTGGATGCAGCGGCTAGTGAGTCCACACAGTGTCTGTACCGAGACGTGCTGTGTTGGCTGCTTCACTTTTTTTCTGAGCTGAGTATAATATGATATGCTTTCATAATTGAATAGTCGAACAGATTCAAAAAATGTTTTTAGCCATATTTTGAAGAAAGGTTGGCAAATGAGCCCAGCTGGAGCTGTTTACAATCGAGATGTGTCTGGGGTCCCTGACTGTAACCTCCTATCCGTCCCCTCCTCCAGGTGCTGCATCTGGACAAACAGGAGCGGCCTCCGGACCACCAGCACTCAGCCCGAGTAAAGCGGCCCTCTGTCTCCAAGGGAGGGAGGAAGGTGCCTGTCAAGTCTCCGGTTGAGCCTGCATCTCCAGGCACTGGTGGCAGCACGGCGCCCCCAACACCGGTCCTTGGGGGCGGCGGTCAAGATGGTGCAGGGGAGAGAGCCCCACCCCCGGAGCCCAGCCCCTTGGGGCTGCATGACCTGGGCAGAAGCTCGTCCAGCCTCCTGGCCTCCCCAAGCCACGCCTCGGTCAAGGAGCCCACGCCTAGCATAGCCTCGGACATCTCGCTGCCCATCGCCACCCAGGAGCTGCGGCAGAGGCTGCGACAGCTAGAAAAGTAACCAAATGCCACTGTGTGACACGGTCAGAGTCCCTGTTAACACTCCACAGGGAGGGTCTCGCACAGTGGGAACGCACCTCTGACGCATTGTGGGAAGACGTTTCCCACGGCCAGATATACAGTATAGCACAGAGTCAGCCTCTCTCACACGCTGGGGAGGAAGATATAATCTTAAATTCATTCCTTTTAATTTTTAAACCATAGGGCATGTGTGCTCACCAGAGAGAGAAAGTAAGAAATGATTCCTTCGGGGAATGGCCACACCACAATCCTTTTTTTCTAGTCTCTTTAGGATTTTGGGCACGTGCACACACATTCATGCATGATTTTCAAGCCACCGGGTCCAGGATTCGAACCGCACAGTGAGCCATGCAGAAATCAGTGCCTTAACCTCTGTGCCACCTGCTGGCCCCGGGAGACATAATCTCAAATTAGCTACGACGTTGAGTTGTGTTGGATTTCCGTCTCTGAGTAAAACCTAGCGTTTCTTCAGGCCTGATCTTTCCAAGCGTGGAAACGATGCAGTCGTAGGTGTCGCCCGCAGGGGGTGCTGGGGCGCTGTGATGTGAGTCACTGTGCACCCCTCCCTTCGCTGCGCTTGCCCGCCTCGCCCGCCTCGCCCGCCTCGCCCTGGTGGTGCAGACACTGCTGGGACGGGCCCGTTCTCTGATGCTCGGGCAACTCCCCTCACGGCAGCCTGGTCCTTCCTGTTTGTCTTTGATGTTCGTCGTCTTTTTTCCAAGCTTCATGATTCATAGACGCGTTCGTGTAATTTGGATAAGGTGGAAAAAGCCTGCAGTTCTCACAGGGTTGAGGTGTTAGCCCTTCTCTCTGGGTTGGAGGGAGCGGCTGTTCTGCTGTTTGCGTCAGAGGATGAGTTGGGAGTCAGAGGGCAGTGGAGTGGCGGGGTGAGGCCAGTGCGCGGCTGCCCGGAGGTGGAGTGCGCAGGCGGAGGTCGGGAGTGCGCAGGTGTGGCCGCTTCCCCGCCCCGGGGCAGGTGCCGTCCACACCCACTCCGTGCCTGTCTTCTTTCTTTTGTCCGTACACTGAAGAAGGAAAGAGGGTTAAACCAGAGACGGTCCGTCCTCCTGAGCTGAGCTGGGGAGTGTCTGGGTGGGCTGGGAGAACCCAAGCACGAGTAGGGCGTCAGGGACAGCAGGTGGCCTGCACACGGGGCAGGAAGGCCACGTTGCTCTGGGCAATCAGGCTGGGCGTAGTTCAGTGACCACACAGCTGACATTTGCGAAAGGTAGGCCTCTGTGTCTCAGGGTTAGAAGTCTGTTTTGAATAACTCGGTTCTCCTGAACCCTGGGTGAACACAGGCCTGCTGGCTGACATCTGAACCCTGGGTGAACACGGGCCTGCTGGCTACGCCTGAACCCTGGGTGAACACAGGTCTAGCTATGTCTGGAAGCCCCTAGCTATGTCTCAGTTCTTGGCTCATCGGGTCTCTCCTGCAGAAATGCAGGGCCTGGCGAGGGCTGGTAACTGCTGTTTCTTGCAGCGGGACGACCCTGGGGCAGTCCCCTCTGGGGCAGATCCAGCTGACCATCCGGCACAGCTCGCAGAGAAACAAGCTCGTCGTGGTGGTGCATGCCTGCAGGTGAGCGTGGGCACTGCTTGGCCGCCAGCGACTGCTGCCTGGCAGGGCGGGGGCCTCCGGAGGGCAGTGGGTCGGCTCTGCTACCTTGTTCTTTAGTTCTGGCAGACAGGAGCGCACCGTCTCCCCTACTAGTGTCTGCCCAAGGGAGGGAGTCACTGAGTCTTGTGTGGGAGCGTCATTGCTTTTGTATCAGGGAGTTAAGACTGTCCTGCGGCAGCTTGTTGGGTAGAGGGCTGAGAGTTTATGGATCCTTTCCCTCAGAGAAAGGTAAGCAGGGAGATGGCGCAGTGGTTACATGGCTGGACTCCCACATGGATGGCCACGGTTCGAGTCTTAGACCCAGCGTCTTGAAACTCAAACTGGGCGCATGTGTATGGGTGCCCAGAATCTAGAGAGGAGAATGAATGACAAGGGATTGAGGCTTGGCTATCCCTCCAGGGGTGATTTCTCGCTTTCTGTTATCTCTGTCTCTCTGGTGAGCTCACGCCCTATAGCAAAAATCTCTCTTAAAATAAGAAAGGTAAGGGACCAGCAGGTGGCGTGGTGGTTAGGGTGCTGGATACTCCCACATGGCTGACCACAGTTCAAGTCCTGGACCTGGTGGCTTGCTTTCTCACTCTTTCTCTCTCTCATTCTCTCTGACTGATCAAACTAGAAAATTAAAATAATAAATAAAGTTAAATAAAATATTTATTTTTTTAAAAAAACGATAGATAAACAAACTGAAGGTCAATTTTTCTTCTATTTTGTTTTACCTATTTTTTTTTTTTTATTTGATCAGAGTGCCAGATCCCAGACTCAAACCGCAGTCCACTATGTGGGAGTTCAGTGCCCTTAACCACCATGCCACCTGCCAGCCCGTTTTACCTTAATTGTTTTAGTTTGCTACTAGCCATGCACTGCCAATAAGAGAGAGAGGGAAAGTGAGGAGTCACTCCCTAAAGGGAACGGCCATGCTGCGGTCTCTTCTCTCAGTGCTTGGGCGTACACATACACACACACGTGTGCCTGGTGTGATTCTTAAGCTGCTGGATGCAGGAGTCGAACTGCATAGTCGACCTTAGCCTTTACACCATCTGTTGTCCTCAATTTTACTTCTGTTAAAATGTGTAGCTATTTGAATGTACACTAATGTATATTTAAAATGCTCCAAGGCAGGGACCAGCAGTTAGCGTAATGGCTATGTCACTGGACTCCCATGTGGTTGACCGCGGTTCAAGTCCCGGAGCCGGTGGCTTAAACTCACGCTGGGCGCATGTGCGTGCGTGCCCAAGATCCCGAGAGGAGAATGGAGGAGAAGGGATTGTGGCGTGGCCATCCCCCCGGGGGGTGATTTCTCGCTTTCTCTCTTTTGTCTTGTGAGTGCACAGGCCCTATGACAAAAACTTGTCAAAAAAAACTCCAAAAAATGCTCCAAGACATTGGGAAAGTAAAGAAAAGGTTTGCCAGGATCCCAAGGGGCGAGTGCGAACGGTCTGACAGGCGTGTGCACACACCGAGGTTGAGCTGTTCGGGTGACTGGAGAAGAGCGAAATGCAGCAGCACCCAGGACCATTCTGAGAAAAGAAAAGTGCCTGTTGGGCCAGCAGGTGGCGAGGAGGTTAAGGCTTAAGGTGTCTGGACCCACACGCGTGGTTCGAGTCCCAGACCCGGCACCTGTATCTGCGTGCCCAGAATCCCGAAAAAATGGAGGCGAGGGGACTGTGTCGTGGCCATCCTCGTGGGGTGATTTCACACTTGACCTCTCTGTCTCCAGTGAAAGCTCATCCTCTGGCTACACTGAGAAGCCTTGGGAGTAGGGAAGGAGGTAGCACTTGGGGGTGAGGCCGCGTCAGTACAGAGTCCAGTTGGGAGCGCTCCGAGTCCTGTGTGCTCTCGCTGCTAGGGCGGATCGTGTCGGAGGTGGAGGGAAGGCGGGCGCTGCAGGGCAGCACCTCAACTAGATCCTATTACTTCTTAAGTTTTTTGTCATATGGTACGTATGCCCACCAGAGGCAGGGGGATACAGAGAGAGAGGGAAAAGGGAAGTCACTCCCAGGGGAGATGGCCATGCTGCAATCCCCTTTCCTCCACTCTCCTCTCTGGATTTTGGGCATGTATGCACATATGCCTGGCATGATTTTCAAGCTGCCGGGTCCAGGACTCAAACTGTGACCAACTATGTGGAATCCAGCCCCTTAACCACCATGCCACCTGCTGGCTCCCTCAACTAGTTAAAAAAAAAAAAAATCCTGTATTTCTTCTACGAGAGACAGAGAGGCAGGTACCCCCAGCAGGTGTCCCAGCACTGCACCCACCCTGACTCAGCCAGACCAGCTCATGTGCATGAGGATGTGTGTGCAGTCAGGGAAGGCCCACCTGGGTCGCATGTGCGTGCGTGTGTGCGTGGTCAGGGAGGGCCCTCCTGGGTCACATGTGGGTGCATGCGTGGTGGTCAGGGAGGGCCCGTGCATATACATGCATACGTGGTCAGGGAGGGCTCTCCTGGGTCGCATATGTGTGCATGCGTGGTCAGGGAGGGCTCTCCTGGTCGCAAACCCAGGACCCCCCCACACACGTGGGCTCACTGCACCCCCACTGTGCCACCGCCCAGCCCTGTGCTGGGTAAGAGGTCCCGTGGGGAGTGACGGAAGGTAGAGCTCGCTGTGTCTGTACGGAGGAACAGTGCAGCCTTCCTGAAGGACCCAGACAGTGCCCCGTGGGCTGGGTGGCTGGAGATGGAAGAAGGTAGCCTGCGAAGAGCCATAAAGGGAGCTACTGCAGCTGCCCAGGACTCGGGCTGCCAGGGCCCGCGCCTCCCCGGAGCCCCTGGGGGCTGCTCGGCCTTAAGGCTAAGTCCTGTTCCGTTACTGGTTGGAAACAGCAGGAGGGTGCTGGAAGGAAAAAGCAGTGGCTTCTACGTAGAGGCAAAGGGAGAGCCTGGGCGGGTCCTCGGCTGAGCGTGAGGCGTTTGCCTCCAGCATCTGGCAGTCTAGGTCCCTCTGGCAGGGCCGGCCATAGAGCAGCGGGCCAGGGAGGCGCCAGCACGAGGCACGAGGGCAGGTGCCGGGCGAGCTTGCCCTGGACTTCCTGTGCTGGCTCGTTGTCTCCACCTCACGTCAAAGCCTGGTAGCCCTGGTGTGGTTCTGATTCTTGCATTCCTGGGTGCTAACGTCCGGTCCTCCCTGGTCGTGTCACAAGGAACCTCATCGCCTTCTCCGAAGACGGCTCTGACCCGTACGTCCGCATGTACTTGTTACCAGACAAGAGGAGGTCGGGAAGGAGGAAGACCCACGTGTCCAAGAAAACCTTAAACCCAGTGTTCGATCAAAGGTAGGTGTTTTCTGCCCGGTGGAGGCGGTGAGCCGAGGAGGACCTGAGCGTGGCCACGTGTGTCTGACAGAGCCCCCAGGCTTCACACACATGCACGTGGCTCCCGTAGAAATGCAGCAGTGAGTTGGCGTTGTCCACCTGTGGATGGGGACTAGTGAGGGCACTAAGGCGTACTTCGGACCTCTTTAGAGAGCCTTGGTTCTTCTGGTATTTACTGTGTTGTAAGTTAAAGCTGAGAATTATAGATCAATATATTTTAAAATAACAATAATAAGCTCATAATATCTTAAATTATAATACGGTTTGTAAAAAAAAAAAAAGCATTCACAAAAAAAAGTTGAAAATAATATTTTTAGTTCACATGTTTTTTTGTTTTATGCCAGAAGGCAGATGCACGTGCATGACAGAGACAGAGAGAGAGAGAGATGTAGAGAGACAGAAATAGGTCGAGAGAGGGACAGAGAGAGAGATTGAAAGAGAGTGAGAAAGACCCCTCAGGGGGCCCAATCATGCCACAGTTCTTTTTTTTTTGGAGAGGTTTTTGCTATAGGGTGCATGCGCTTGCCAGAAAGACAGAGAGAGACAGAAAGTGAGAAATCACCCCCCAGGGGGGGATGGCCTCGCCGCAATCCCTTCTCCTCCATTCTCCTCTTGGGATCTTAGGCACGCACGCACGCACGCACGCCTGGTGTGATTTAAGCCACCAGGTCCGGGACTCGAACTGTGGTCAACTACATGGGAGTCCAGTGACATAGCCATTACACCAACTGCTGGTCCCAGCCACATTCCTTTTTTTAAAGGAATCATTTCATTGTATTATTATTTCTTAAAAATTTGCTCCAGCGTACATGTGCACACTGGGGAGAGTGAGAAAGTAATCTACCACGTCCGAGACTTGAGCTGTGGTGGGCCGTGTGGCAGGCCAGCTCTAACCACTGTGCCACCTGCCGGTCCCCTGCGGTGTTCTTTTCTCGCGCTGCCTGTCCCATCAGAGTGCTGGCTTGTGTGTCCCTGCCCAGCTACATGGGCTTCAAGCCTTGCTTGGCTGGTGAGGCCTGCTTCCTCTGCCTCATGCTTAACTGCTGTGTGATGGGGGTGATGGGGCTGACCCTCATTTTCCTACGTTTCTGCAAACCCCTCGCAGTCTGGCCTAATAGAGGCTCCTGGTCAGTCTCCTGAGAGGGCCTCAGGGACCCCCAGAGGTCCAGCCACACCAGCTGCTGGCCCCACCAGTTGGTGTCTTACATTACAGTCCTGTGGGAGCTTAAAAGCACCAGTACTTGGGAAAACAGTGAAGTCGAGTGGTGCCAGCATCTAGTCACCCTGCTTATAACTCATCTTTAAAAAGACTGCTTGTGGACTCGTCTCCGTGCCGGTGATTCTGTTTGTTTTAGTCACGGTGCCCGTCCGGTTGCGTTCTGTATCCACTCTGATTAGCACTGGTCAGTCCCGAGCACTGCTCTGAGGTGCAGATCCCTCGTTACATTCACACACTTCCGGGTTTCTGTTGCTTTATTTTTAATTATTTCTTTTGAATGGACTCATTTCATGTCTTTCACGAGAGACAGATAAGTGGGCACCCCCTGACAGGGTCGTCCCTGCTGTGGTGGCCTTCCACAGCCTCCAGCTAGTCAGGGGCTCAGGCCCAGGTCCACGTTTGGGTCAGCGGGGCTCCCAACCAAAGCTGGCCTGCACTCCCAGTGGGTCAGCACCTCCTGCCTGTGCGCCCACACCAGGCCCATAGTGCATTCACCTCCGAGGTCTGACCTGGCCTGCAGGCCAGCTCCCAAGCAGATGTGTCTACAGACACGTCCCTACTCTGCCCAGCATCTGGGAACAGACTCTCCAGGGCACTGCAGGTACAGCGGCCGTGGCCAGTCAGAGTGGACCTGGCCCCATGCCAGGCCAGGACTCCACCGTTACTTGTGTTTTGGGCCTTCTCCTCACAAGGAGAGCACCCACCTGGCAGCTCCTCCCCGGGGCAAGGGAGCCATCCAGTGGTGGCGGAGGCGCTCAGCTGGGTGTGGACAGTCCCAGGCTGTCCGCTCCTGGTAAGGGGCAGACATGCGTATTTGAAGGACACTGTTCACCCACGTGGGAGCATACCACGGACCGTGGGACTTGGCACGTTCTGGTGCCAGGGCTCCTCTTACGTCCGGGAAACGAGCCTGTCTCCCAGCCTCCACACGAGGCCACGCGTAGCATCTGACAGAAGAACTGGGTTTTCCGCAGGGGACAGATACGGCGCTTGGGGTGGCCTCGTAGGCAGGAGTGCCCTCTGTACAGGACACCCAGCAGAGCTACGGGGACGGCTAAGGAGGCCCTGTCTTCCCTTTCAGCTTTGACTTCAGCGTCTCACTGCCAGAAGTACAGAGAAGGACGCTGGATGTGGCCGTGAAGAACAGTGGTGGCTTCCTGTCCAAAGACAAAGGGCTTCTTGGCAAAGTGAGTTTACACCCTCATTGGTTTGTGTGTCCCCCAAAGGTAACGCCCACCTGCCGTGCCATTTTTAGCACTGACTGGGGGGCGGGGACTCCTTGCAGATGAGTGCAGGCCGTGAGCTCGCGGTGTAGACCGTTGGCCATGACATGCATGCGTTCAGCA